TTATCTCAGACTCCAGCATCGGCAGTTCCCACTATCTCTGGGTTAATGGGATGGCGTTTCATCAGGTCAGAGCCGAGGCTGTCCAGCGCTATGCTTTTATTCCAAAATTTCCACTATCCGCAGCATTTCTGCTTTTGTCTGTAATCAATCTCCGCAGGCTTTCCTTCGTTCATCTACACGCGTCAAGCCATGCGTATACCACCTCCCCGGGTTGTCGTTTCACTTCTTTGCCAAAAAAAAAACAAACTGAAGCCAGGGGGAGTATTGAAATACCGAAATAAGGACATTTTAGAAACAACGTGTAACACAGAGCGCGCCCGTAGAAAGGAGACATTTAACCAGCGGCAGTGCAGGGACACCATGCGGGAGATAACTCACCAGCTTGGTGGCTCGGTACGGACCCGCCGCTATTTTGCTGTCCATGCTGTGACCACCCCCCAGGGCCCGGGGTCAGGCTCAGGGCCGGTTAACACCGCCTCACCGTCCGTTAATTCCCATCACAATTTTCTCAATAGGGCACGGGGAGCCCGGGCAGTTTAAAAATCGGCAGCGAGGCGAACAGTCACACTGATTGGGCGAAAGCGGCGGTCCCGTGACCCTCAAAGAAGCCGTCCTGATAGGACAAACAGTAACCAGGGTCGACCTGATAAATGGGGGTGGAGCCGAGAAAGAACAGAGAGTTCGAACTGAGTGTGTTGGACCAACCAGGGAGCTGGAAGAGAATGTACCTGCGCACTTGACCAAAAAGTCAGGTTGCTTCCCCAAGTTGTACAAACGGAAAGCTAGTTACAGCTCTTCACTCAGGTTTGCAGTAGTAGTTCTGGTGGCGATTGCTAGGATAAAATTAGAATTAGGTTTGTTACGTATTTATAGCAATGCACCATGGTTTGTTACATGCGCAGGTGACACATGAAGAGCGACTACCACTGCAAACATACAAGAATAATCCAAACACGTATTTTGTCGCCTTTATTCTAGCGCGCGCAGGTGTATACACAGAGTTTGGGGCCATCCTAAAACTCAGAGTTTTGAACGAATAAGTCAAACAGAAATAGAACAATAGAAGAAATAACAAGGGCCTGGATTATGGAGCAGCAGCAGTTGGGGGAGGTGCAAGGAGAAAACAACGTTTTTACATCATGAAAGGGTCCTTTTACGCAGTATCCCACCTGTTCAAATCATTTTTCCGAGAACTTGATCTTGTAAGGTTTCAAATGTTCATCCAAGTACTACATGTCTTGAGGATTCCCATTTACACCATCCTTTTAGACTATTTCAGAGAACCACTAAATCTCTGGCTGAAGACAGTTTTCCTTAAACCCTTCTAATCCTTAAAAATTCTTGTTAAAAATGTTGTAAATCACGAAACCTTATGACTTATTCTTTTACTAAGAAACTGGGATTTTGGATTTTTGTCTGTTAAAAATTTACCTCTCTCGACTACGATAAGGACGTGTGTGTACACCAAAACTTTATGGAGGCTTGATGACTAAAGTCTTTCCCATTATAGGAAAAAGAAACTTTACAAGTGATATCAAAATTCAAAATAGTTACAATTGTGTTCAGACAACATGGTCAGGAGCAATGTTGACTCCTTGAAAACTGGCAATAGTAATCAGTTAACTGCATGCTGCCATCAGTCCAAAAACACTTTCTACAAAACACAATTGATCAACAGTATGCATGAATTTTCATGCACATGCATGCCTTAGCAGTTGGCTAATCAAATCAAATAGGGAGTTCCTTTAGGCAGCTTGTAATAGGCAAAGTGCAGAGTATAATCTTCAACCAGCCTGTACTTGCAAAAAAACCCAAAATGCCTATTATTGGAATCAAATGCAAGATTGTACAGCAAATGCTATCTAATTAAGTGCACCAGTAGCAACACTAACAACCAATTTAGGATAATCAGCTGAGCTCAAATTTGAACAAATTACTGCAGATGCTGGAATGTATACCGAAAACAATAAATGCTAGCGATTACAGTGGGTCAGGCAACATCCATGGAGGGAGAACAAAGTAACGTCGAGTCTGGGGTCATCTTGACTCAAAACATGAGTTTGCTCTGTCTTCATGGATGCTGCCTGACCCACTGTGATCTCCAGCATTTGTCATTTGCAATGAGCCCAAATGTAGTTCATGGACACTTGTTGGATGTTACATATTCATATACAAAATCCCCATCTCTGAAAACAAAATATATTCAAGCCTTTTGCCTTTTTTGAATTACCTTGGGAGATTAGGAGCCTATGTTTGTTACTTCACAAAAAATACTGGTTCCATTCATCCCTATCTGACTCTAGTCAGGGCAGTTCAAAAAATAGCCTCTTATCCCAACCATTACCTCTGCATTACACCACGTATCCATTATTATGTCCTTCTACATGTTCTAGTTACATAAAATGTGTCAGATTTCAAATATACACAGTTCCACTTCTTTTGTCTATCAGACTGCTTTCTTGACACACAGTCTTAGATGAGCCAAATTTTTTTTGTGGCTAATCATTCTAAGACACAAGAAAAGCCTTTTACCACACCATAAAACTATTCCCAAAGCATCAGTTCAATCCCACCTCTCCAACAGTCTTAGCTGAACTTCCAACCCAATATCACCAAAGTTAATTCTCCTTTCCAACCTCAGCACAGTAGCTAAGGTACTCAAACATGCCCAAAGAATAACTTGACAGCAGATGTGAACAATAGCAAGAAAGATGAGAAAATACACAATGTAAACAAAAATTTGGATCTTGATAGAGAAAAATTAAGATTTTCTCAAAAGGTGATTTCAGAATCTTATCCCATAAATTTGCTGCCCCAAAAACCCAAATCTCCTTATTTGTACACCACTTCTAATTCTCCTCTTCCCTGAGGAACTAGATGGAGTAATTTCCCCAATACGTAAATCGGAGCACTTACTCAACGCAACAACTCACCGAATGGTCGTCCTGACCATCATCCAGCTGCTTCTTCACAACAACATCTCTGTATGCTGCATGGACACTGTCCTGCTCGACCCTTTGTCCACAGAAAATCAGCATCAGCAAACCACAAGTCTCAAAACATGGTCAAGTCTACTTTAAGACCAAAATCTTTCAACACTTCAGCATTTCAACAGTTTTAGTTTTGATTTCAGGGACACCCATGTCTTGCATGTTTAACTCACTATGTGCACAGGGAGATGAACAGCTAAATAGGACACATCTTATGGCTCTTAGCTTGCTTCATCAACATACATTCACTTCTTCTGGGCTGCCAGCCTGGGTGGGTCACATTGCTTTCTTGGGGTGCTCAGTTACATGCTAATTGCCTCTGTGGCTTGCTATTTAACAGAGGGCAGCAACTTGAGATAGTGGGGAGTACGAAACATTCAAGCTGGTGGACAGGTTTCACGTGCAACATGGTATCAGTTTACACAGAAAACACAACAGTATGTGTTTCAAACAAGTGGCCCTGCACATAAGTGAAAGGAGAGCAGTCTTTTGTAGGGTGGGGTCAGTCAGAGAACAACACCATGATCAGTCAAGAGTCTTAAGATTCCAGTCAAAGGGGATAGCTCTGGTCAGTCAAGCACTTAATCCAAGCAGAGCCCAGAGATCTGTTCTCTCGCAGTCCAGGGACTGGGCCACAATCAGTTCTGCAGGTTAAGTGCAGCCAGCCCAGAGGTTAAAAGTTGGAGTGCTATGGGGATACCAGTGAGAGCTGACCAACTTTTCCTGCAATGAAACAAGACGAATGGAGTTTGATGGAAGCAAACGGAAGAGCTGTAGTTAGTGGTGATGCACAAACAGAAGGGATGGTGAGGTGTCCCCAGTGAGTAGGAAGTGCTGAGGACAAAAATAGTTAGCAGTTTGGAAGGATGAAGTGAGTGAGAGTTGTTCAGTGGGTATGATACATGCAACCTCGGTAAGAGTTTAGTCCACAAGCCTGAGTGAGAAGTATATACAGTGGCAAAGTTAAAGCGGTGGCTCTATGAACATGAGGTAGCAAAGATGGTGGCATTTATCCTTGTGGACAGCAGAAGATCATTATCATTCTTCCTGCACTGTACCGCATACACTTGGGAGACAGCAGTGAACCTTCTCTACGTTGGTGAGACCAAGCACAGACTCCATGACGGATTTGCAGAACACCTGCACTCTGTACACTAATCAACACCACCTTCCAGTTGCCAACCATTTTAACTCACCCTCCCCCTCCCCCCCCCCCTCCCCCTCCCACGGTGACATGTCCTTCCCAGGCCTCCTCCAGTGCCACAAATGACACCACATGCAAACTGGAAGAACACCACCTCATATTCAGTCTTAGCAGCCTACAGCCCAATGGCCTGAACATAGAATTTACCAACTTCAAAGTCTCCCCACTCCCAGCCTCATTCCACATCCAAACCTCTCTCATCCCTGCCTCCCACTTGTCCATCTTCTTCCCCACCTATCTAGCTCACCCTTCCCAGTACCTGTACTTGCATCCACCTATCACCATCCCACCTACCTTCACCCAAATCCACCCCGTCTCTCCATTTATTTCCCAGCTCCCTTCCCCCTCACCAGTCCTGATGAAGGGTCCTGACCTGAAACGTCAACTCTCCTGCTCCTCTGATGCTGCCTGACCTGCTGTGTTGCTCCAGCTCCAAGCTGTATTGACTGACTCCAGAATCTGTGGTTCTTGCTATCTCAGCAGTGAACCAAGCTGCAATTTCAATCCAACTTGGCCTCGTCTTGTAGTGCAGCCCCTGTGGTGCTACACAGGAAAAAGTACCACCTCCCACTCCTCCATCCCATCCACAAAAACTTCCAAGACCCTGTCTATAAACTGAGGAAAAGCTTTCCTTTGCACTATGTCCTCAGTGATAACAGTCAAACATTAGTGAGAGAGTCCCTGGCTTTGTGTCTGAAATGGCATGCAGTTGGCTTTTAACATGGCATCAGTGACACAAAAACTGGCAAGTCCCAGTAACAAGCACTTCCATCCCTCCTGCCACATTATTCCCAGAGAAGAGATGCCCAGAGTCTGGTTGCACAATAAACAAGGTGAAAAATGGAAGATTGCGCAACAGTTGTTGTTTGCGCAATGAATTTTGCTTCGCAAAACAGTCTGAAAATGGGAAAATTCCACCCCAAGGCTCTTATCTAATCCCACAATATTTGAAAACAATGATGATCGTCAGATGCTGCTGCATTAGACCTGCCCATAAAACTGGCTGAGCTACTACCAAGTAACTTCTTAATTCCCAATTCTCAACACCCAATTAAGATTCAGTCCTGTGATTAAATTCTTAATCTTACCATTCCCAAATTCTCCAAGGTCCTCTACCTATCCACCACAACACCGCTCAAACCGAACTCGTATAGATTCTCCAATTCGTGGCAGAACAGTCAATTGCCTGAGCTTTGCTGTTCACGTCCACTCAAATCTTGTCCCTTAAACCTATCTTTACAACTCTTTGCTTGCCACCCATTCTCTGATGACATGGAACTAAAAAGTAACAAATGCA